CTTGCTCACTTGCACACACCCGTGCCCTCCTGCAACTCCCCTCCACACAAAGTTCCGCTTATGAAAACCCAGACAAAGCTCCAGACTCTAATGTCCCTGCGGACAGTGACATGAATGGTAAAAATCATCCTCAACCCTAGGTGCTCTGCACACGCTGACTCTAAACTTCACATTGATCCTGCAAGCACGCTTTTCCTGATTACCTCCCCCTTCCCACCACACATCTTATAGATGAGAAAAATGGGCTTCAGAAAAGCCAAGTGACCCGTCTGAGGCCACACAGCGACCCCACAGCAGATCGGGGACGGGGGTCCGTCTGTTGCGGAGCTTACCCGCATCCCTCTCACCAGGCTGCTCTTCCCGTCTGGCTCCCAGGACCCAGCAGGTGTTCAGCACGTCCACTGATGAATGTGTATGTCTGTGTTTTCTTTCACACACACTCAGTGCAGGCTCCAGCTGCCCCTCTCTCCAAACCCACTCTGAGCTGTGATCTCCCTGCAGGCTCAGAAACTTGCAAACCCTTCAGCTTCCTCCACAGCCAGAACTATCACCAGCCTGAATTCCCTGGGCTCCAGTCTCAGTTTCCCCTAAGTTTCTCAGGCCTGCACACCTAAGCAAGTCCTTCCCTGCTTTGAGCAGACCCACAGCAATGGCTGGGCTCCTGCTCCAGGCCTGACCCCCACTGTGGAAGCCTCTGGGGTCCAGCCACCTCCATTCTCCTCTCTTCCTCTGAAACATCAGGACTGGCACTGCCCCCACTCAGCCCCCTCTCCCTGCAGCCCCCTGGGAGCCCAGGCTTTGCTTGAGGGCAGTGAGTGAAGCCGGCTGTAACAGAGAAACCTCAGGCTCCTCTTTAGAAGTCCCCGGAGGAGGCAGATCTGAGGAAAGGCTGCCGAGAAGGCGCCTGCAGCAATGTCAGCTTGAGAACAACCCGGCTGACAGGATGCTGAGCGGGGATTAAGGTCGGGATCAGGGAAGCCGGGGAAATGAAGGCAAGTTCCCTGCTCCCCTCGCTGCCACCGCTGCTGCCTCGGCTGGGTTTGTCTTCTTGTTTGTTCTGGCTCTGGGAAAGTGGGCGGGGAGGGAAGTGGGCAGGGGTGAGGTGGGGAGGTGGAGGGAAGGACAGGGGAGAGGTGGAGAAGGGCAGGTAGGGGGGTGGAGGGAGGTGGAGGGAAGGACAGGGGAGAGGTGGAGAAGGCCGGGTAGAGGGGTGGAGGGAGGTGGAGGGAAGAGAAAGTCAGGCCTCCTCTGGGTCTTGGGCTCAGCCAGGGACAGGGTAGAGGCGCAGATGGCCCTTACGTGGGACCCTTCCCCTACACCTGTCCCTATAGCCGGTCTACCAGCCAGTGGAGCAGCCAGTCGCCCCCGACCCCCCACCCCGGAACCCTCCCTCATGTCCTGAGTGTGGATGGCAGGACCAGTGAGAACAGAATTGACCTTACCCTGAGAGGCTCCCAGGTCAATGAAGCAGATGCAGTCTACCTCCAGAGAGGAGGTGAGCCTGTTTCCGCCTGTCTACACATGCAAGATCCTCTGTTCTGGGGAAAGACCATTGCCGCAACCTGCCTCATCATTGACACGTCACAAGAGTCTAGCCAAATGAGCTACTGATTTCCAGGTCATCCAGTGCACCACAGTTCCAGTGAAACCTCAAATCCTTGCATTGCCATTGGTGTGGTAGTGAAGAACGTGGCTTCTGGTTTCAGACGGCACGGGGTCACCTTTTGGCTCTGCCACTGATTTGCTGTGTCACATTGGGCAAGCTGGCTAACTTTCTATGCCTCAGTGGGATAAAACCATAGCACCTCCTTATAAACTTGTCAGGAAGATAGAGGGAGTGGACACATGCGAAGTGCTTGGCTTAGGGCCTGCCATGGAGGACAGAGGACGTATGCCATAGGGTAGCTTTATTTGTTATTGGGGCAGAGTACAGGAATAAGTGTGGCAATTTGAAGTGACTTGCCTGAAAGCTTCCTGGGGGAAGGGGTGTGGAAATCTGATTTTGGAGGCTGAGACTGGGCAGGGGTAGAGAAGTGAATTGGGGGTATGGAACAGAGCTCCCGTTTGCCAGGTGAGTGAGTTAAGGATGTGTCTGGTGAGAGGCAGAGAGGATGCATTTGTTACGAGCCCCCCTTCCCCCTCCCAGCCAGGCTTTCTCCAAAGTTCCTGCTTTAACTAGGGGTAACTCTTCCAGCCCTGCCACGGGCAGGCCAGGGGTGCCAAGACCATGAAAAGATACAGATTTTCATGGTGACCTTCCCAGAATGGGGTTTATTCCAGAAACCCTAGCCATTCAGGGCGACTCCACTTGTACCTGGGGTTTCTGGACCTGGCAAGGGAAGAAACAGGCACAGAGAGTACAAACCTGGAGGCAGATGGTCCCTGGGGTTGGGTTCCAGCTCTGCAACTGATCATCTATGGGCCTTGGAGCCAGTCAGTTAGCCTCTCTGGACCTTAGCTGCCAGGTCTGTGAAATGAGATAGTAATATGTACCTTAAGAGTTGTAATGATGAGTAGTTACTCCATAAATATCCACTGTTGTTATTCAACTTAGCAAAGAGCTGCTGAGGTCCAGCCAGCAACTGGGGCCCTAATGAATGAGAGACCCTTTCCTAGCCCTCGAGTAGCTGGTGGCCTGCATGTGAGTCCAAATATGATGCTGAAGGCAGTGGTGCTACCTTAAAGGTCCACCTGGGAAACAAAGAGAAGGAGATCCTGGCATCCATGTCCCAGGCTGCAGGGCCTGCTCCCCTGGCCCACCCTGCAGCCCTGCTTGGGTGTCCTCAGCCTATCACCCTATCTCTGGACACCATGGCCAGCAGGCTAGGGATGGGGAGAGTGTTGCGGGGGGAGGGGAATGAGAGCCTAGGACAGGGTTCTGGGGTTCTGGTAATTGGGGAAAAGCTCTGCTGGGTCTGATTTCTGGGGGAAAGCCTTGGGCAAGGGGGCCCAGTCCCTGCAGAAGTGTGTGAGGAGCACCTTATTGGGGATTTTATCTCTAGGGGCCTAGTTCTGGAATTCTAAAGACACCTTTTCTTTTCTTTTTGTTCTGTTAATCAAAGTTATGTATATTTATTGTTTAAAAAAATGGAAAATACAGGCCGGCATGGTGGCTCATGCCTGTAATCCCGGCACTTTGGGAGGCTGAGGCGGGTGGATCATGAGGTCAGGAGTTCAAAACTAGCCTGGCAAGATAGTGAAACCCCGTCTCTGCTAAAGCTACAAAAATTAGCCAGGCGCGGTGGCAGGTGCCTGTAATCCCAGCTACTCGGGAGGCTGAGCAGGAGAATTGCTGGAACCTGGGCAGCAGAGAGGTTACAGTGAGCTGAGATCCGGCCACTGCACTCCAGCCTGGGTGACAGAGTGAGACTCCATCTCAAAAAAAAAGGAAAATGCAGAAAAGCATAAAAAAGGAAATAAAGATCAGCCATAATCTTCCCACCCAGAGATAACCATGGTACGACTTTAGTGTATCTCCTAGTTTTTTTTAAGCTCTGATACACACATTTACACATACTCACATGGACACACACGTTCACGCACATATTCACAAATATACACTCACATGCAATCACACATTTACATACACATATATGTAACTTTATTACATGTTTAATGTACACGTCTTTAAAAGTTTAGAAACAAGATTGTGGAATCATAAAATACATCACCATTTTGTCAACTAATTTTTTTGTTAAATAAAATATTGAGAACTTTTTCCCCCAGGTTATTACATATTCTCCAACATAATTTAAAATGACTGTATAGTGCTCTTTGGGCATAAGGCATATCATTTTATTAGTCATCACCTATTGGTCATCCATCCATTTCTAGATTTTTGCTATTGTAAATAACACTGAGATGAACATCCTTGCAGAGAAATCTTTGAGGGGGTCGCTAACTTTCCAATTGTCTGTTCATGTCTGTCTACTCCCAGGTTCGATTTTGAGCCTTTCTAGGCAGGATCTATGTCTGATTTGTCTTTGTGACCCCAAAGTCTAGCTTGGCTGCTGGTTCACTGAAGGCATCCAATAATGGTTGAATTGAGTTGCTTTTCTAGAGCATGTGCTCTGGGCTGAGGAATTGGGAAGGTGGGCTGGTGAGGAAAGAGCCCACCTTCCCTGCTAGAACACTCAGGGGTCCCCAGTGCCTCTATGCTGGGCCTGCTAACTTCTCCTAGGAAAACACCTTCCCAAGCAGAGCCACTGGCCATCCCAGAGGCTCACTGAATGGCCCTCCTGTATCTCTTATCTTCCCAGGCAAACTGAACCTTGCCCGGACCCTCCCCCTTCATACTCCCCCCATCTCTGACTCTTTTGAGTTCTTTTGTTGTGTCTTCAAGCTGAAGGCCTAGCAGACAGAGCCCTCTCACCTGCTCATGTCTGCCGGAGCAATGTTGCGGCAGCTCCCAGCTCCCCATGCAGTGGCCCCGTCCCTGGCCCCCACTTCTGACAGCACAGCCCACTTGGCTCCTGAGAAGTGCCCACGTGGCACACCTCACCCCTGCCCCTGCTCTGCCTGCCACCTCTCATGGCACCAAAGGAGCCTTTGTCTCTCCTCATGGGGACTCTCAGCAGATGCTGACATTCTGACTGAAACAGATTTGTACAATCATGGAATCAGAAGTGGAGACCCAGGTCCCAGTGTTTCAGTGGGTCTTTAAAAAAGAGAGAAAGAGAGAGAGATGGAGAGAGAGAGAGAGAGAGAAAGTGAGCAAGAGCACGAGAGGTAAGAGGTAAAAGCTGAGAGGTAAAACTTACAAACTTAATTTCCCCTCACCAGCATCCACACTCCCAACCTCCTGGAATTTCCTCTCTTCTTTTTGATTTTTAATCTCTTCTTTTCCTCTCTTTTCCCTCCCTCTTCCCCTTTCACTCCTTTCCTTCTCTTCTTTCTCTGTCTCTCTCTCAGCTCTGACATGAACATCACCCCCCCACCCTCCTGTCCTCCTCTCCCCTTCTTTTTTAAGTTTTTTTTTTTTTTTTCTTTTAACTTTCAAGGTCATTCCGGACTCCTGACGCCGCCAGTCCCGCGGTGAGACGTGAGCACCATTGGCGTCCGTGGCCTCTGTTTCCGTGGCAACCCAGTAACCATTAATTTTCAATTAAAGGAGACAAAAAGCTCGATGACAGCTCCAGGTCTGCTGAAGATGTCAAGAATCTGTATTAATATACAGCAAGAGAGCATAATTGTGTGTCCATCTTCCAGAGCAGCGAAAAATGGAGGGATAATTACCAGCTCGAAAGCCACTCTGTAATTTAGTTCTTACTGTCACCACAGCCCTACACATTAGCATAAATTAAAAGCAGAGTTTATTGTTATCAAAGTGCATTGATATCGCCAGACCTGCTTTCTTCCTTTTAACTGTTTGTTGTGGGTGAGTGACTCCCCAACTCTTGCCAGGGTCTCCCCGGAGTGGGAAGAGTGGAAGTGTGGCTGCTAGACCTGAAGGGTCTAGCTGCCAGCCTCCCTCAGGGCAGGTGGGGACAAGGGTCAGGGTGTTGCCCCTCTGATAGGGCCTGGGGATGATTCGGGGGATGGAGGAGGCTTGGATATTTATTCACCTTTCACATGTAAGTGCTTTGTTTTACCTATGAGCACTCCAGCCCTTGCAGAGGGGGCTGCTGCCCCATCGCGGGTCCCCCTTTAGTGCCTAGTACAGTGCAGGGCAGGTGATGAGTGCTCTAAGGCAACCTGTTAAACAAAGGAATGAGTGCATGTGTAGGGGTATCCCCCATGGGGTGAATGTCAGTGGCAAGACCTTGCATTCCCTGTTCAGGGTGTGGCTAGCTCAGGTGAAGATGTTCCTGTCTGTGGCCCAGTTCCTGCTTGGCCAGCCAGGACCCCAGCTCCTCAGAGGGGTCCCTCTGGACCCCACACCCCTAATCTTGCCGCTTGGCCTCCCACCTCCATGGCCTAGGTCCTGCCGCGGCCACCGCCTTCATACTCACCTCTGAGTGGTTGGAGCACCTCGAAGTATCTCGCTGCCAGAGTGCCAGTGACAGCCACAGAAATCATGAATTTCCGTGAATGGGGGATGCGGAGTTTTCTTGTATTCTATCCAGAGAGAGCTGTCCTTCAGAGGGGAATTTAGTGTAATTACCCTTAAGGGAGCGATCCTTACACAGTCAGTCACAACACTGACCTCCTGGCTGAGATTTGACAGCAAAATTGCAGGCTGTGTACTCAACAGAAGGGGCATCCTCCTTTTTTGGGGGTTGAGGGGGGAGGCGGGAAGGAAGGAGGAGGAGGGAAAGGAGACTCAGAGGCTTTGAAAAGAAAAGTGCTGGCTTACAGCTGCCAGGCGAGTGGGTTCTCCTTGGCAAGGCATCTACAGGGCAAGGAGAAGGTGTCCAGAGATCCCCTGGCACTTGACTTGGCTCATGAAAAGGGGCCAAATTAGGCACTCCGGCCCTTCAGATCTTTGAGCTCTGGTTTGTGATCTTAGCTAAAGTTAATCTTATTGTAAGAAGGATTTGGAAGGTACTAGGCACTATTTGATAAACTTCTCAGGCATGTTTTCCCAAACATATCTGTCCCTTGGTCCCTCCCCGGTGCTAGAAGTTCCACTGTTCCTTTTACCTGTAAGTTGACAGATCCAAGACCCTGTAAACCTGCACCTGGGTTATCTGGAAGGACTAATGTGCTAATCTGTGACCACTCTGAATTTAGCACGGATGCATCTCTCAGATGTGCTGGCCCATCACATGACTGAATCCAAAGGACACGGGGATCAGGCAAGTTTCCGTGAAGGATTGGAAAAAATCTGGTGTATGGGTAGATCTTGATGGACTGTGAAACCTGGGAAGGAATGGAGGTAAATCCCCAAATCTCAAAGCTGGAAGGGACCCCAGAAGCCAATGGGTCTGAACTTCGCAGAGGAGTCACCACCTCTCTGTTCTACCTCTATCCACAACACAGGGCTGGGTGCGGTGACTCACGCCTGTAATTCCAGCACTTTGGGAGGCCGAGGTGGGAGGATCACCTGAGGTTAGCAGATTGAGACCAGCCTGGCCAACATGGCGAAACTCCATCTTTACTAAAAATGCAAAAATTAGCTAGGCATGGTGGCACGTGCCTGTAATCCCAGCTACTCGAGAGGCTGAGGCAGGAGAATCACTTGAACCTGGGAGGCAGAGGTTGCAGTGAGCCGAGATAGTGCCATTGTACTCCAGCCTGGGTGACAAGAGTGAAATTCTGTCTCAAAAAACAAAGCAAAGCAAAACAAAACAAAACAAACAAACAAAAACAACTCGGCCACCTCTGCCTGCACAGTTCCTAACAGCAGGAGCTAGCTGTCCCTATAGAGGTCCATCCTGCTGTTACATAGCACGGACCATTGCCAAATTCCAGATTTTCAAATGAAAATCTGTGTCCATGAAATTTCTTCCTTCCTTTTGGAGCCCCTTTGGAACAAATCTAGGCTTTCTCGGGAGGGACAGCCCTTCAGCTATATGGGGACCATGTTCAGCTATTTATCATCTTCTCCTCCAAGTCTGGGACCCAGTAGACTCATCGCCTCTGCCTCATCCTTTCGGGAAAGTGCCCAAAAGGAGTCTGAAAGGGCACAGGACGGCCCCAAATGCAAACCCAATGTTTATTGAGCATCTGCTATGTTCCAGACAGAAACACCCACCATATCTCTTTTCTCTTTTTTCTTTTTTTGGAGACGGAGTCTCGCTCTGTCACCCAGGCTGGAGTGTAGTGGCACGATCTCAGCTCACTGCAACCTCCACCTCCCGGGTTCAAGTAATTATCCTGCCTCAGCCTCCCGAATAGCTGGGACTACAGGCGCATGCCACCATGCCCGGCTAATTTTTTGTATTTTAGTAGAGATGGGATTTCACTGTGTTGCCCAGGCTGGTCTCAAACTCCTGAGCTTAGGCAATCCGCCTGCCTCGGCCTCCCAAAGTGCTGGGATTACAGGCCTGCGCCACTGCGCCTGGCCCCATATCTCTTTTCATCCTCTCCACCAATTCAGTGAAGGGAGGATATATTATTCTCATTTTACCGTAGAGAAAAGAAGGACCCAAGAAGCTTAAAATCGCTTGCCCCAAATCACCTGCCAGCAAAGGGCAGAGCCAGAATTGGGAGTCCAGACTCCTGACCCAGGCCAAGGACTTTCCTTGAGAATCCAGCTGCATTGGTCCATATACCCCTTGGGCACCACTGGGTTTGGGGAATGAGCTCTGCCATCATTCTCCTGTCTTTCCACCTCCATGACGCTGTTCTGCAGAGCCTTTCTCTCCACTTGGCAGGGAGAAGGAATTCCAGGGGAAACCCAGCTTAAGTCCTGCATCCTCCCTGAAGGCTTCCCTGCCCATCCCAGGCCTCAGTAACTGCTTCAGTAAAATGACAACATTGGACGTTATTTACTGACCACAGGACCATGCTTCAGCACCTACCCTAAGGTATTTGATTCAATCCTCCAGATATTTGCCCTGGCTGAGGGTTCTGCCTGAGCTTCTCTCCCCTCAGATACCTGCATCTCGTTCAAGGACCACCTTCTCTGGGAGGTCCAAGCTAACCATCCTTTCCCAGGTTTTTTTACCCGCTCTATTTCTTTCTATAGCTCATGTCACCTTCTGAAGAGTATTTAATTTACTGATTATTATGCTCATTGCCTATCTTCCTCCTCTTTAAGTTCCAAAAGGACAGAGGCTGTATTTTGTATAATGTTGCATCCCAAGCACCCAGAACAGTGCCTGACATACAGTAAGTGCACAAGCCATATTTGTCAAACGACAGGAGGAAAACTCAAAACCCTTTGAGGCAGGTGTGTTGTTTTCATAGCAGAGAGGAACTAGGGCTGTAGTTCTGGGTTAGGTGGCTTGTCCAAGGTCACAGAGCTGGCCATACCCAGCTGTGTATTGGGCTGCTGAGTATGAGGCTGTTTGGGATGGGCCTTGAGCCTGAGCCTGTTCTGAACACTGTGTGTGTGTGTGTGTGTGTGTGTGTGTGTGTGTGTGTGGTGGCTTCCTAGGGGATTTCTGCCTGCATTCCAACCAGCAGGTCCTTCCGGGCACCCTCCCCTCCTTTACAGAGCTTCTTCCCTTCCTGCAGCTCCTTTCAGTCCCTGCTTTCTTGCCCCAAGCCTGGAGTGGCCTGCAAGTGCAGTCCAGCTCACCTCCCTCCCCTGAGCACATGGGTCCCTGCCTGGGCTGAAGTCCACACCGGGAGCCCAAGGTGCCCCTGGAAGGCCCCCACCCTGGCCTCCGAGTGGCTCCTCTCCCCAGAGATGTAAATCCGGGCCCCAGAGTGGCCACACAGAACATACATCTTAAACAAACACTTCTCCTTGCTGTTTATCTCCCTGGCCTTTAAACAAACTCTTTCAAAGGTTTCTGCTGATAGGAGAGATTTACTGAAAACCATTCCTTGCTTAAAAGCCCCGGGTTTATGCTGCTGGGGTGGGGGCAGTGGGGCCTTCAGGTCTGGGGTTTCTCTGCCTCCGGACCACATGTTTATCCTCCAGGCCTTGATAGAGGAGCAACACAGACTAATCTTTATGGAAAAGAAAATAATAAAAGCAGGAAAGGGGAGGGGTGGAGGCTGGGGGACATTTGGTTCTTGTCACTGACTCCAAGAGGCTGTGGCAGGTCTGGGTGTGGCAGTGCCCACCACACTGTAGCCCTGCCTGTCGGGGGTGGGGTGAGCTGAGCATCCGGGAGGGGTGGGGCTCCCTTGAACTTTGGACAGAAGGCCCTTGGGCAGGTGAGCCTCTTCTCCAGCTTCCAGAGGCCAGAGTGGGCCTCTCCCTGCTGGATCGGGGGTGGAGGGAGGGCAGCAGTCACATGATCATGTCTATTCCTGCATCAACCAACACTCAGAAGGCACCTAGCCTGTGCCAGGACCTGGGGGTGGAGAGAGGAATAGTTGTTAACATTTACTTCAGCATTTCTGTGGGCCTGGTACTGTTGTAAATCACTTACATGAATCAACTCATATAATGGCCCCAGAAGTTAATTATCTCGGTTTTGCATATGGGGAAACCAAGTCACAGAAAGATTACTGGCCATATTCCAGAGGTTTTGGTTTAACTGGGATGCAGGCTGGGCATTGGATTCCCGGATGCATCCTAAGTGGGAAACTATTGCTGTAGAGATTGACATTCCCATTTCCCACCCACTCCCCACTTGTCCTCCCAATAATACAGTATCTCATCCATTTCAAGGTGTCTCACAATTCATTGACAGCAGTATTTCTTTCTTAGTGGATCATAAAATAATGGTGCATCTTACACATAAAATAATGGTGCATCTTCAACAAAATATAGCAATAGACAACTAACCTCTACCAACTGTGGGGCCTGGGCTGGATGATTTGCATCC